TGGGTTGCTTACTTGGGATAAGATCCCAGTCTTTCTTATGCGGGATATAATAATAGTAATAATAATAATCCTTGCATTTGATATAGCGACTCATCACGTCGTCGAGACGTCTCAAAGCTCTTCACAGAATATACCGTAAAGGGGATTGTGACTGCATATTTTATAGGGGAAACACGGCAGCCAATTGTTGCCTGTTTGTGGGTTACGGCCGGACAGTAGTGTCCCACAAACAGTCGTTCTTAGTCTGCTTACTGCTCGGTAAACAGAAGCGTGTGTGTGGAGTAAGGAAACTTGCCTAAGGTTTCGCTCTGCCCGGGAATCGAACCCAGGTCCTCTTGCTTGCGAGGTGAGCGCTCTAACCAATACGCTACAGGACACCACCTTCCCTCCCCCGAGACTAGGTTCCTCCGGCTACGCGCAGAGCCAGTGCTTTGGGGGGAATTTGTTTTCGTTAATATTATCTCCAATTCTGGGCAATTGGGAATTTCGCACATGGCCTGGGAGCTGCTGTCGGGCTGAACCGTTCAGGAAATAAACAGGGCTCTGTTGGAGCAGAGACAAGGCGTTTCCTGTGAAACCCTACCTGGGTCTTATATTGCCAGTGCGACAATGAGCAAACACTCAGGGATCTGTGCCGTTCCTGTGTCACTTACACTCATGTCCTGACCTGGATCCGAGCATCGCAAACCTGATACATCTCCAGCTGACGGCCTGAGCCGTCACTGCGGGAAACAAGCCACTGTGCAAATGTTAGCTGGTTAAACTCCAGCAAGTTTCCCCCGGGCAGGGCGAAACCTTAGGCAAGTTTCCTTACTCTACACACACACGGCTCAGGAGTCCGTAGGAACCCGGTTGTTCAGTCGATTGGGGGAATTGCTTTTCCGTGGGTAATAATCCTTTCAAGAATAAAACAATAATGATAATAATTTGGTCACTCAATCCACCACGGTTTGTGGGGGACGCTGCTGTGCACACTTGGCTGCCGCGTTTCGCCCACAAAATGCACAGTCAATTGAGTGAAATGGATGAGCCAGGAAGGCAGATTGTGTGGGTGAGTAATAGAGGGAATGAGATAGCTGTGTGACACAACGATAACCTGGCGTCGGATACAATTGCCTTTCACATCGGGAGAATGTCTCAAAGTGCGTCACAGGATGTACAACGCAGTGCAGTGACTGTGCACTTTCAGCCACTACGCCCTCAATCCCTCCGCCTTGCCCCCTCTCTCCCCTTTTTCAAGTCCCGCCTTAAAACCTTTCCCTTTGAGCTGTGCTTAAGCTCACCTCACCCTCCCCGGCTCGGAGCGCTCTGAGACGTTAGCCCTGCGTGGAGGTTGCTGGATAAGTGCAAGTTGTTGTTGCTGCTGTGTGTTATGTCTGTCGCGCTGTGTTGTGTGGGAGACGCGGAATAAGAGCAGCACAGGGTTTGCTTTGAATTGTGACCGGGTCCCAGATGGACACAATGGCCTCTTTCCGCTCCCACGTGGGTTTCCGTTTGGAGGACCAGATTAGCACATCGCTTCCTGCTGAGCTCCCGAGCTTCGGGAATCCGGCTCGAAAAAACCTCCGAGATTTGAAACTCGGAATGTCTCACCCCCCGCCCCTCCCCACCCCACTATCTCCGCTGCAGTTGGAAGTATTTGCAGTCACCTCGTTCCGAGATAACAATATAATAATAATAATAATAATCCTTGCATTCGATAGAGCGCTTTGTCACATCTTCGAGATTGGAGCTTGACAAGTATTTGAACGCTTTAGAAGTTCAACAACAAAGTTTATTTGAAGTTTTACACGCCGAGCCAAAAAAATAAAACTTTCATCTTACAGCTGTAAGTAACAGTGGCCCGGCCACAGTTAGTGTGTGTTGCGTTCTGTGCTGTCCGACGGGGTGGGGGTTAATAGAGAGAGGGGAGCCCGGCCGACTGACGTCACTGTATGCAGAGTGGCTGGTTTCCTTTCCCTAGGGTAAACAGCCTTCCCTGCCCCTGGGTCGTGAGAAAAATAATGCTTCTGTTTCTCAACTGCTACTCTGCTCGTCCGCACATTAAAAACCAGACCAGAGTCCAGCTTAAAGTTTCCGTCGTCTGTCACATGTATGTAGTGGTGAGACTCTCTCTTTCCCCCACACGCATGCACACACGCACACAAGCCATGCTGCTGCTCACTCCAGCCACCCTACCTCCGGCTGACACTGGAGGACACGGGAGAGCTACACCGAGGACATTCCTCACAGTGGCATCTGTTCAGCGCTTTGACCGATTGGAGCAATCGGAGAGCGGTGACTGCTGGGCGCAATTGGCTGCTGCGTTCCGCGCACTAAATACTAAATACAGTCACTCCACTTTGCAGGATATCCTGTGAAGCGCTTTGAGACGCCTCAAGGACGTGATAAGCAGCTACGTCAATATACTATCGTTATTCAGACACATCAAGTGAGAACCCCACCATTATCAGCCGTGGCACAGAACACATTGTCACACCTACAATTACAGGCATCGAAAATGGACCACATGCAATGCAGAGGAAGAGGAAGGTCTTCAGGTGTGATCTAAAAGAGGGGAAGGAGGGGGCAAGACGGAGGGGTTGGGGAAAGAGAGAAAAAAGGCCCAGATGGGACCTTGGTGCAACATCTCATCTGAAGGATGGCACCTCCAAACAACAACAACAAGATTCCATTTATAGAGCGCCTTTCACGTCGGGAGGACGTCCCAAGGTGCTGTACAGTTGGGTCAGGACCCGAGCATTGGGGGGAAATGGTCAGGGTGAGGGGGGGGAAGGGAGGGAGCGAGGAGGGGGTGGAGAGTCGAGAGGGGAGCTGAAGGCACGATCAAAGAGAAGCAATGATCTAAAAGAGGGGAAGGAGGGGACAAAACAATGCAGCACTTCCCCCCCCCAGCGCTGCGATGGAGGGTCAGCCCAGACTGTGTGGGGAGTTCAAAGTCCTGTCGTGGGGGCTTGAACCCACAACTTCTGCTCTGGAGGGGGAGGGGGCAGGGAGTGAGAGTGTGACTGATTGAGCCGGGCCGACACACACACACACACACACACGCCGGATAAATAGGAACAGCCTCGGGCAATGAGCACATCTAAAGCCCGCAAAGTTCCCTAAAAAAATGTCTTAAGTGCTGTGGGAATTTTTAAGACAAAATTCCCAGACTACACAATATCCTGCGGATCCTTTCGTTCTGGCACACAGCGTTTAAAGTTCCCTTTTCTAAAGTAATCCCAAATCAGGTGTTTAAACTCCTCGAGCGTAATAATAACAATAAAAATAATCCTTGCATTTGATAGAGTACCTTATCGTGTCGTCGGGACATCTCTAAGCGCATCACAGAATATACTGTAAGGAGAATTAACTGTATATTGTGTGCGCGAAAGTGGCATTTTTTTTCGCGACATTATAATCGTGTCATAATTTGAATCATCCGTGCTGCGCGTGTCTGTTGCGATAAATCTTCGTGTGTGCAACCTACATGCTTTGTTTCAGGTGAACTTTGAGCATTACCTACACAGCGCACAGACACGACACCTTACGGTTAACCAGAATTACTCGTGAACATTTAAAAGATTTGCTTTGAGACGTCTTCCGGGTGTGATAAGACTCCTACACCAAAGCCAAGGAATAGTATTTTTATTATTATAAATCCTGCAAAGCGTTTGGAGACATCCTCCCGACGTGAAAGGCGCTTTATCAAACGTAAGCATTATAATAATTATTAGTAATTATGATTAATTCAGGATAATCAATGAGCTGCTGACAAGTGTAAACAGAGAAGATTTTCTTGTTAGCTCTGTCAGAAAGATTTTAAAATAAATCTCCCTCTGTGTCCATCACTGTCTGCAGTGGTGTCAGAGACGCATCGATTGATTGATCGATTGATGGATCGATCGGGTTGATCTATCCCGTAAAAAAGTGTCTCCACTTCCTGAGGTCCCGCATTAGTTAAACCAACTGTAACTAAACAACTATCCGCTCTCGGTGGTGCATTTGGCACATCATCACATCATTGTGTTGCTATTTCTTTTAGCCCCAAAATGCTCATTATTTGGGGTTTTTTTCGCGAACGAAATTGCGGCCAATGTTAGACGGTGAGAAAGACAGTGCGTTAGTGAAAGCGATTTGGCTTTGGGGTCTCAGTAGAGTTGTTGCTCTGTTTGCAATCAACTCACCACGACATCAAGTGAGGGGGGGGGGGGGGGGTGAGGGTGAGGGGGTGTGGGGTGGGGGGTGAGGGGGGGGTGAGGGTGAGGTGGGTGGGGGTGAGGGGGGGGTGAGGGTGAGGTGATGGGGGGTGAGGGTGAGGTGGTGTGGGTGAGGTGTGGGGTGAGGTGTGGGGTGAGGTGGGGGTGAGGGGGGTGAGGGTGAGGTGGTGGGGGTGAGGGGGGTGGGGGGTGAGGGGGGGTGAGGTGTGGGGTGAGGGGGGTGAGGGGGGGTGAGGGTGATGTGGTGGGGTGAGGGGGGGTGAGGGTGGGGTGGGGGGGTGAGGGTGGTGTGGGGGGGTGAGGGTGGGGTGGGGGGTGAGGGTGGGGTGTGGGGGGTGAGGTGTGGGGTGAGGGGGGGTTTAAAAAAAAGGGGCAGCAAAGAGCGAAAAATAGACAATAATTACGCTTTGAAAAACCAAACTTCACCCCAACCTGTGAGCAACGGGAACAGTTCCAGCCAATACATTTCTAAACGCAATTACTATTTTATGGTATATGCTTTGCATATAAACAGCGACACAACAAGACGACAGACACACACAGACAGACAGACAGACAGACAGACACAGACAGACACAGACAGACAGACACAGACAGACAGACAGACAGACAGACAGAGACAGACAGACAGACAGACAGACAGACAGACAGACAGACACAGACAGACAGACACAGACAGACAGACACAGACAGACAGACAGACAGACACAGACAGACACACACAACACAGACAGACGCACACAGACAGACAGACAGACACACACACACAGAGACAGACACAGACACTGTGGCTCTTACCAGTGAATAGAGACATCGACACCAGCAGTGAAATGAACAGTGTGTGTTGCACCTGAGAGAGCGCCATCTCCTCTCCTCTCCTCTCCTCCAGTTTTAGATCCACGGTTTGCAGAAGGGAAGGAAAGGAACGAAACGAAATGAGTGAGTGAGTGAGTGAATCAATAAATAACTAAAGAAAAATTTAAATAAAAGAAGGAGCTTTCTCGGTCCTCGCCTGGTCCCTGAGGGCAAGTGGCTGTGCAGTGTGAGCTGCCGACTGACTGCACAGGGACCCACTCAACGATGTGCTTTAATCTGTTGGACCAGAGGCTGAGCCAAAGCACAGCCCAACTCTGTCGCCTCTGGATCTGTCAGTCAAACCACCTGTTGCCAACCCCCCCCCCCCACCCCCCCCTCCCCTCCCAGCCACCTGCCAATCAACCGTGCCCAGGGCTGGGGGCTGGGGGCTGGGGGCTGGGGTGGGGGGGTTTCCTCCTGATTGGCTGGATCCCTTTTACCTGCCAAACAGGGGTCTCACCTGAAAATAATAATAATTATAATGATAATAATCCCTTCGTTTGACCTGGCGCCTGATCGATTCGTTGAGGCGCCTCAAAAGCGCTTCACTCAATATACCCGGCAGCCGATTGCGCACAGTGCTGTCCCATAAACATCTTGTTACCCCCCCCCCTACACCCCCACCCCACCACGGAAAGCGATCCGCCAATCGACTGATACCCGGGTTCCTATTTATTGCGGGTAAACGGAGGCGTGTGCGCGTGCGTGTGTGTACGTGTGTGCACGTGTGTGTGTGTCCGTGCGGGTGGAGTGAGGAAACTTGCCTAAGGTTTCGCCCTGACCTGACCCGCCCGGGAATCGAACCCGGGAACTCGCTAGCCACTACGCTACAGGACTACAGGGATTAGTTAAAGTGATACAGCGCCTTTCGCCTTTCGGGAGGGCATCTCAGAGCGCTGCGCGGAATACGCAGCGAAGTGTAGTGACTGTGCGTTTTGCGAGCCAACGCTTCCTGTGGGCTCGGGCCGCCCGCACTGACATGGCTTCCCGCTCGTGGCGCAGGAAGTGACACCCTTTCCTCCTGGCCGAAAAGATCGCTAAAAATCAAAGCAAAACAAGTTCAAATATAAAGGGTCGACATTATCTGCCAAAAAACAAAATGAGTAAAGATCTAAACCGATGACCCATTTTTTTTACAGCGCCAATTAAATGCCTCCACATCAACATCAAGTTCATTTCCAATCCATCTCATTTAACGCAACGCCATTTACATGTTTGTTTTTCCCTTGAATGGCTCTGTATGAATTCAAGTTGTTAAAACAACTGAACATTCTCTCTCTCTCTCTCTCCCTCTCACTCACTTCCCTCCCCCTCCCTTCCTACTCACTCGCAATTAACTCATTCAAACAAAGATCTGGATAAGTATCTGTCTGGGAGCAGTTTGCAGGAATTGATTGGGGCCAGTGATTTCTGTGCTGGGAAAAGATTGGGGGGTTGGCGAGGAAGCGAGAAAGCCGGAGGTGAATAAGTCTATTTGTGAGGATGGATCTGTCTGCAATGGGATCGAGTGACTTCTAAGTTCATTTAGGGTAATCTTCCACTGTTTGCAGGAGTGACTTTGACGGTCAATGTTGTCTCCTATAAGAATATGAATAATATGCTGGTTTAGCCGGTTAGACTAAAGCAGTTACCCCACCGCACACTCTGGGTTCCCCCCAAGCCTTGGCTCTCGCCAACCTGTGCCTTGTGCTCTCCGGGTTTAGGTTAAGCAGGACGTGTCCCTCCAGGGAGAGAGAGAGAGAGAACGCAGTCCAGTCCAACAATCCATCTGTGGAATTTCCACGTGTAGGTGAGATCCGGGGAAATCTCAGCTTGGTTTGGATCCCCTCAAGCTCAGTGATGGGTTTCCGCACGTGTCAGACACCCGCCTGACCCCAACAATGAATGGTACGTTTGCAGCACTTCATGACGATTCAACACCGACAAGGCCGATGTATCAAAATAATATGATAATCGTTGCATTCGAAATAGCGCCTCTTACGCCGAAGCATCTTAAAGCGCTTCATAGATATTTGCACTAAAGTGTAGTGACTGTGTATTTTGTGGGTGAATGCAGCAGTCAGTTTTCCCTCAGCCATGTCCCTACAGTCCTGAAGTGAATGATCAATTTGTCAGAAGGATTGTTGGCCAGGAAGCCTGACGAGAGAACCGCCCTTCTCTTTGTGAATGTGAGTATTATTATTAATAGATACAATACAATATAAATTTACATTTGTATGGAGCCTTTCATGTCAGGAGGCCATCCCAAGGCCATCCCAATAGACGCCTGGGGAGCACCATAGGTAATTAGAACTTTTGAGAACAACACGATCTGTCCCAGAGATGAGTTATGGACAACACGCTCGCTTGCTGTTCATCGTGTTTAAACGTCTCAAGAAAGGGAGTCCTGGAGTGTATTGGTTAGAGCGCTCGCCTCGAAAGTGAGAGCACCTGGGTTAGATTCCCTCGGGCAAATTTCCTTCCTCCACACGCCTCTTGTTTGTCTAGCTTTTTAGTCGATTGGCGGATCGCTTTCCAGCGGTAACAATCCCCTCCCCCCAAAAAATCAGTCACTCAATTCACGACTGTTTGTGGGACATTGCTGTGCGCGATTGGCTGCCGCGTTTTGCCCACAACAATAGTCAATCTGCTTTACAATATATTATGTAAAGCGCTTTGAGACGTCTCAACGGCATGATAAAGCGCCTGTATCAAATGCAAGGATTAATATTATTAAACCGTTTGTTCTGCGATTGTTTATTTCTCTTTAATTTTCCCACTGAATGTTCATCTTCTCGATAACTTCTTTAACGTCCGCCTGAACAGACAAACGGGGACGTTAGTTTAACATCTCGTCCGAAGGACAACACCTCAGGCAACTAAACACTGTTCACACGGACGTTACAGCTCTTGTGATGCTTGTGAAAAAGAGAAGAGGGTTTCTCTCTCTCCCAGTCCCACAAATAGAATTCATCATTCACTTTACAGCTGTTTGTGGTAGGTTTCTCTGTGCAAACCGCCAATAAATAGTCACTACACAGTAATTCCCTTATTGAGGCATTCAGATGTTGCAGTCGCTGTATCAAATGCGTGGGTTATTGAATTATTATTTACCAGTTGGTGTGTTGGTAAAACCCAATTTAAGGTTATTGCTGTTTGACTTTCTGGTTTATTGTTGCCCTCTGGTGGCAGGTGAATCGCACTGTTTTGGTGGTGGATTAATATTTACCGCAAATACAAATGTAAAAAAAGGATCGCAATATTCAGACTGACAACAACAATAATCCTTTGCATTTGATGTAGCCCTTTATCACATCTTCGAGACGTCTCAAAGCGCTTCACAGAATATACTGCACCGTGGACTGACTTGTGTATTTTGTGGGCAAAACGCAGCAGCCAATTTCGCACAGCAAATTAAAATCACACGCCCAAAATCCTCGTGCAGATGAAACGGCACAAGGATTTTAGGTCACAAGTTCGCACACACACACAATACAGACACAGTCCACCCTGTAAATTATTGGTTGAACACCTGTTTTTAACGCTCACAGAACAGCAACCTTACAGCGGGATTTGGAAAGCGACTTTATTCCTGTTTCGGCTCATTCAGCATTGTTTGTGTGTGGACAGGAAGCTGCTGACACTATCGCAGCTCCCCAGACGTGTGGGCTCGGAGACACAGCAGCTGCAAATCTGGGAGAAAACAGTGGCTGGGTCACGGAGATGAAAAAGAGGAAGGAAACGGCAATAAATCAGCAGCAGACTTGTTAAGCTGTTCCTGGCTTCAGCCTTTGTGCTAGTGGACGTTGAAGTTTGTCAGCACATAGAATAATAATCCTCGCATTCGATATAGAGCCTTATTACGTTGTTGAGACGTCTAAAAACGCTTCACGGAATACAGTATATCACGAAGTGGATTGACTGTGTATTTTGTGGATGAAACGCAGCAGCCAATTGCGCACATCAGTGTCCCACAAACAGTCGTAGATTGAGTGACCAAATTCTTTTCTTTTTTTAAAATCAACTAACAACTTGGTTCCTGCTTACTGCTGGATAAACAGAGGCGTGTGGAGTAAGGAAACTTGCCTAACGTTGTTCACCCCCTCCCGGGAATCGAACCCAGGTCTTCTCGCTTGCAAAGTGAGTGCTCTAACCACTAAGCTACGGGACTCCACAAAAAGAACCTTAAGTGATTATTACTCATAATGTGGAATAAAACTTTTTTGATTCCGACAAACTAAATCATTGCCTCTCCCTCAAATATACCCCCGACAGCCCCACACCCCACCTCAATATACACGCACACACACAAACACACGCAGAATAAAAAGGTTAGAAAAGATTCACAATGATCTTTTAATTATCTAATAATTTATAGCTTAATGCTGTGTTAAGGAGAATAAAAAGACACGTCTCCCCGTGCGCCCCCTCCCCAACAGCCTGTAGCACCTGAGAAATCCTATTAAAAATAATAGAATTCAACAATTAATGAGGTGCAGGTCATCAGGTACAGGTAGGGAGGATTTTGGACTCCACAAAGCATCTTTTTGTTAATCTCTCTCCCAGTTCGGAACCAACATTCAAATCGATCTTTATTGTCAGACACAATCATTGCTGAGTGAACAAGTCACTCTTCCTCTCTCTCAAAAGGATAAAATCATTCCTTAAAATATTACAATATAATCAATAACAGCAGGAGATAAATACCACATAATAATTTCAGTTTAGGGAAAATATAATGAAAATACAAAATTGAAATTGCTCAATGTTTCTCCATTGTCGTTCAGTGTTGTTTTTTTTTTAAATTAGGAAGTTTGTTGTGTTCTTTATAGACTGACTGCCATTGAAATGTCTTCACAAATAAACTGGCATCTGTCTCTTAAGTCTCTCCATCCATTGGCTTCAATGCTCTGCTGAACATGCTGAACAGGAATCAGAAATCTTCACGTTATAAAATGTGCGAGTTGAAATTGAAATTAAAACCCCAAAATAATCTTTTTTAAAAATCTCTCCGTCACAGAAAATAAAACATTCGGGAGATAATCAGATGAGAAAGACAAATTAAAATAAAATACATTTTTTTTAAAAAAAAAGGTATATCATCAATTATAGCTTCATTTTTCTATATGATCAACAGTGTCTGTACTAAGATTGGTAGCTCAGCTTGTTCCTTTCCCCCAGCAATTTGGGTTCCGTCAGTTGACTATTTTATTTGGTCTTTAGTTGAGATGGAAAAGCCCAGGCTTTTGATTTCCACCATCACCGAGGTACATGTTCGATGTGTTTGCAGTGCGGCGGGACAAACATATAGGATTCTACCTGTGTTGTCCTTGCAGGGGACTAAACCCAGACACGTCAGGAACTTCACCGAGTGGTTAAAAAAAAATGGAGCTCTTATTGGAACAACTTCAGAGCCTGGAGACTGGAAATGCTTCCAAACTATCTCAGTAATTTAAGAACTTTTAAAATATTTGAAGACTTGAGCCTCTTATTTTTAACCTGCCTTTAGGTGTGCAGTGTCCAGCATGTACAGCAGTTGGATACTTGCGAGCAACAGTATTGGAAGTAAATATTTTCCAAAGGAATGTAGAATAAGATATTGAGCTTCTAACTTGAATTCAGATCCATTTGGGTTACCGTTATCTATCTGCCTGCCCCCTCGCCCTCTATCCCCAAACAAAAATATGAATGAAGGATAATTTGTTCAAGGATTTGTTCAAGAACAAATTAGATAGATTTATGTTAGGAAATAATATCTCGGGATACGGTCTATAGTTTGGGACACGACATGTGCAAGTGACTGGCAGGATAGTGGAAGGCAAACTAGATAGACCTTGGTTTCCTTTCGCATAGCAAATTCTTATGTTCTTATGAAACAGGTTGGTTTGAACCACGCTTCAGGGCTCAAACATGATTCAAACTGATTCAAACCGCATTATTACACAGATCTGGGAGTCGATCCAGATTAATTTTCGCGTGGGCAAGAATGACAATGCTGTACTTCTTTGTAATTATATTTTTCATACATCCAGCACCATGACCCTGACAGACACAGCAATTAAACATCATTTTAAGGGCAATAGATCTTAAGACAATCTATTGTGTGTAAGCACTGCGAGACGCTACCCATGTGAAGGGCACTATAGTAATGCTGTAGAAGTTGTTTTCCGCAGTTCTGTCGCTGATTTAAATTTTCCAGTACAAACAACAACAAATTACATTTGTGTTAGCATCTTGCTCTTCAGGACGACGTCCCAAAGCACTGACAGTCAGGGATTTGGACCCGAGCTGGGGGCAGGGAGGTAGGAGGGTGATCAAAGCCGTGGTCGAAGAGGAGGGTCTTTGGGATGTGCCTTGAAGGAGGCAAGGGAAGGAGGCAGGCAAAGGGACTGTGGGATGGAGTTCCAATGGGTAGGGGCAAAACAAAAATCACAGTAAAGGCAGCACGTCTCAAATGTGTTTGTTGTGCAATACGGCTCTCGGTTAATCCTCTCAAATTGCTCCCAACACCCAATCTCAGTGACAGACCTGTAAGCTCACATCGCCCTTGTGTTTCGCCAACCAAACATCCTCTCCCTACACAAAATTCAGGTTTGGAAGCACAAAAGTATAGTATATTGCTGTTCCGTTTCTCACAGTTGCGAGTGAAAGATAGAGCTGAAGTGTTTGGACACTCTCTGTTGCACTGTGCAGCAATCTGAGTGGCCAAGAAAATAAGGCTTTAAACTAATAGCTGGCTCTTGCGATGACTCCATTTCCCAATCTGAAGGCTGGTGACAGAGTTTCAAAGTGCATTGGAAGTAAGGATTTTCCTTCTCTCTCTGTCCACTGCTCACTGTTTTTCTTTAAATAAAAGGTCCTCTGTGTGTAAATTGATTTAGCAAATAAAAGCAGTAGCGCAACTTACTGTGAGCAGACAGCACAGGGCTCAGCGCTGGGAGGATAAATACTGTATATACAAGATTCAAATGACTTGATTCTTCCAAGATATTTGCCATCTGCAAATGCTGTACTTCACAAGCAGTTCAGTGTAGGGAAATGCAACTTCTAGTGTATTTAAAATGACAGAAACAGCGTTCAACTGAGGTCACTTCTGTTGCACATTGGCTTAGAACGCTCTGCAAGGGGAATCTAAGCGTGTTCTAGATGTGTTCAGGTCAAGCTGAGATCATTTAAAATTAGCTATAGCCTGATCGCAATTACCTTGTTGGGAGAAGCAAGAAAGACAAAACAAGCTTAGCTGATTAGCAGTAGTAGTGTGGTACAATATCAGAAGCTGGTTACCTCCTGGTGATGCAAAACAACTTCCAGACGACACTTGCTGAGGCGAGAGGAGAACTAGTTACTAGTGAAATTTTAGAGCGTACAGGTGGGGTGACTGAACTGCGGGAGACATTTTCTCACCTTCCGGGACCCTTCTGAATCAAAATGGCAGTATTTCCATCAAGAAGCCAAGCTTCAAAGCCAACCTTCACTGAAGGTACTGTGTCTACAGGGAGATTAGTACAGTAAACTGCTGACAAGTCGTCATTCCCAGGGGGAAATGGCTCAGTGATAAGTTAGCCGGTGTGGCGAGTTAAGCATATGTACAAATACATAAATAAATGTGGCCGGGGATATTGATGGTTACAGTGGTAGTGGGACGAGTTAAGTCAGGGTTGAGTTATCAGGCATTTACTGCATGAACTAAGAGGTCACAGTCTGTACAGTGCAAGAATGCAGTGAAACTCCAAGCACCATCCTGTCTTATTCTACTAGACTACATTCTGCTACTAGTGTGTAAATACATGTGTTTCGTGAGCCATGTATAAAGCATAAATCCTTCTCCACCAGTGATGGGTGGGTGATTACATTCTAATAAATTAATATCATTGGTTAATTACAACAACAAATTGCATTTGTATAGCGCCTTTCGCATCAGGAGGTCGTCCCAAATTAATTACATAATTAAAGGCACACTGCAATTCCCTCTGCACCAATGTCACGAGTAAAGCCACTGACTGCTCAACAAGGAATCCTTCTCTAAAACCACTGGGAGACGGGTTGAAATTTCCCACATCCCTTTGGTCTCCACCTCAGACATGGATCAAATGATCCGGGAGACTTGTACAGGTTCCCACACCCTCACACAACTCAGCTCTCTGCAAAGCGCCTTGGGATTTGAGGAGTATCGTGCATTACGGTACTCGTTTTCAATCTCGCACTGCACTAGAAAAGTCGTGTACTGGAATCATTTGGACAAAACACCTGACTCTCAGGACAGTACAGGACATCACCTTTCCTTTGGTCACAGAAGACGTGCTTGAAAGACCCCTCACTCTAACACGCCTCTCACTGGAAGATATAATTGTGGCTTCTCAGGTAGTGAGAGCATCACCAACAAATAAAAACAATGCAGGAAACCTCAGACAACTTCTAATAATCCTTGCATTTGATATAGTGCCTTATCACATCTTCGAGACGCCTCAAAACGCTTTACAGAAAACACTGTAAAGTGAATTGACTGTATATAACTGCCTCACTGACGTTAAAAACAAACTTTGTTATAATATCGAGGTTTAAGAGCTACGCTGTAAGCCAGGACATTTTTTAACGTGATGGCTGGAGTTCTTTCAGTTCAGGTCCAGTCTCAGTTTTTATAAATTCTTTGTAGGTAGTGTTATACTTAAGAACCATGAGATAACGGGTAGAATGTTACTGTACATGCAAAGACACATGTTCAGTAAATGAATGACCACAGTACAGTCGGACGCTGCACGTGGGAGCATTGGGAGAGAGCTTGGGATCAGGAAGAACAGCAGGCGTGAGAGGTGAGTGGATGGCAGTGGTTTACTCACTCTAGGTCCCTTCAAAGTATCTTCAGCCCAAGCTGATGGGCAAGAACTCATGGCGATTAAGGCGTCTTTGGCCATTTTACAACAGGAAGATTGAGTCATTGAGAAACAATGTCAGTCAAACAGGCTAAATATGTGGAGGGTCCCACGGCTCCGGTTTGCCTTGGCGAGAACTCAAGAAATGAATTTTGTACCAATCACATATTGTGGATTAGTCAATTGAAACACCATTCAATGGTGGATGATTTATCCATAACTCAAAGCAGCACAGAAACCAAACACCTCACCCATTCCCACACACACACACACACACACACACACATCTGTCATTTTGGGTACTGCGCTACAGGTGAAATATCTCCGTAAGTACAGCCTGCGTCTGTTCCAGCTGTGTCCTGCGTCCTGATCCGGAAATGATTTGGTCCTAATACTTTCGTCTGGTAGTGAAGCAATTGTCGGTAGTTAATGAATAAATACAGGGCTTACTGGAAAACATAAGATTGCATAAAAAAATATAAATAATCAGTTTAGGGCACCTAAAAGGAAAAAACAGTTACAGATACTCCGAATAGTTCCGAGGAGCTTTGCTTGATCACGTCCCCACAGTCAGGTCTGTTGTCTGCTCGGACAGGACATTCCACTGGGTTAAACGGTCAATGAAAGCGTCTGATTGATTAGTCGCTGAACGCTACAGATGTACGGAGGGAGAGCAGCAACACAGTTCTCCACAGGGCTTCCTCTGATCAACATTTTTTGAGCTGCTCTCTTTGGTTTCAACTCTTTTTCCGTAAGTTACGTAGCTCCCCTTCCCCCCTCCCCTGCTGCCGGCTATCGTCCCGTCTCCGTAAGGGTTTGGTTCGTGCTGGAACCAAACCCAGCACATCTACAAGGCACTGTGCACGTGGGTGAGGGCCTGAAGTGTCAGAGCGGGTGTGGTAGGTGGTGACCACACCAGCAGAGAGACAATTTTGCAACACCACCACCCGCCCCCCACCCCCCCTCCCACCCACGAGGTTTTTGTGTGTCCGTCCTTCCTTCCTTCCTTCCTTCCTTCCTTCCTTCCTTCCTTCCTTCCTTCCTTCCTTCCTTCCCTTTCCTTCCTTCCTTCCTTCCTACCCACTTTGTCCAAATGTCTGTTGGCTTCTTGGAGAAATTGCTGTACGGTTTGAGCTCTGACCCAATAAAATTCCATAGCGGCCAGTGGAACGGAGCATTGAGCAGGCCGGGGAGCAGAGTGCAAGCAAGGGCTGTAACCCATCGCTCCACATCACTACAGCAAGTCACCTCTCTCCCTGTTTGTATTGATTCCTGTCCTATGCTGTAGACTGTACACTGTACATCACTAGGGCTGGAGCCGAGACTTCAGAACATTCAAGCTTTGGGAGAGCATTAAGGTTCCAACTTGCTTTCCCTTTCTGGGGTTGACCTGAATTCCGCCGCGATCCTGACCATGGACCCTCGCGGACGCGATTCCGTGCCTCCCTGCCTCTCTCCTCCCCTCCCCCCTGCCCCAGCCACTCCGGCACGGCTAGTGCTGGAAGCTTAGCGCCCCCAAACCCCAGGAATCATTATCGTTACCAGCCCCGAACGTGACCAGGAGAATCCACACGTCGCAACAGCTGAGCGCAGGCGATTTACTTGGTGAACCTTAAAGAATACCCCATGGCTTTTTCCAAACACTCAGTCACGCAGCCCGCAGAGAGAGAATCCTTCTCCACCTCTATGAATTTGATGTAGATCGACCTGGAGATGGCTCCCGCCCGGCAGTTCTCGGAGAGGAAGGTGTTAATGGCACCCGTCTCCAAGCTCAGAGTCTTGACCGGTGGCTGGAAGTGCTGCAGTATGCACTGCCGAATGGTCCTGTCCTCCGCCATTCCCAGGTAGCAGTAACGGATCCTCTCGCTCCGGTCGCCTGGTTCATTGTCCGGCACTGACGGACCAGCCGCGCCCCCCGATTCCCGGTGCAGCGAGACCCGGGGCAACACCCGGATCCCGTAATCCCTCCGCGGGGTGAAAACCTCGCCCTCGGCGTCTTCGCAGCCGATCACATACAGTCCGTTTGTGTCCGGGATCCCGCCCGGGAACAAATACTGGACCACGCTGTCTCCTACGGCGCGGGACAGGGCTATGGGTATCCACTCGAAAGCAAAGTGCAGCTCCAAGCACCTGGCCTCGCTCTTTGTGATCTCAAAGTATTTGTAAAACACGCTCTTCCAGTTCATTTTCTGACGCTTGCCTGCTATCACTTTGCCCTCCGCCTTCTCTGGGTTCAGATATTCCTTTAGCCTTTTCCCCACCGGCATGTGGGAGCTGATCTCGGCGCAGTGGTACCGGATGTCCTCGACCCACCTGGTGTTGTAGCCGATGCCGAAGATGCCGAGCTTGCTGGAGGAGATCTGAGGGAAGTCCTCCCAACACTGGAACTCCTGCCACTTGGGCTGGATGGAGTCCAGCAGAGTCATGAGCGCTTGCACAATCTCAGGCTTCCTGGAGCAAGAGAGGAGAGAAACAGAATCACAAACCGCTGGCAGCTGATTGCCACAACAGCGTCCCACAAACAGTCACGGACTGAGTGACCAAATTTTCTTAGTACATTTTTTGAGGGATTATTAACCTCAGAAAGCAATCCGCCAATCGGCTAACAATCGGGTTCCTACTTACTGCTAGGTAAACAGAGGTCTGTGAAGTAAGGAAACTTGTATTAGTATTCGCCCTGACCAGGAATCAAACCCAGGTTCTCTCGCTTGAGAGGCAAGTGTTCTAACCACTATGCTGCAAGACTCCACAATTAGATCCATTGTGAAGAAATAAAAACTCCCCCCAGTTTTCCTACTGACAATCCTTAGGTTTCATTCTCTTGCTACTGATTCTCCAGTCAGTATTCCGCAATGCACCTCTCTGGCCCAGTTTATACAACTTGCATTTATACAGCTCCATTAATGTGGGTAGCGTCCCAGAGCGCTTGAAAGGTTTACACTGCAGAATCAGTGCCTACTTACTGCATGTGTTCCATAGAGTCCCGCCGCACCTGTGGCTTCTTCTTCACAAAACTCATTTCTTCTGCAGGAAACACAAAGGAGGAGAGGGGTTAAGATGAACCAGAATAAAAATTGACACCAGAAAGACATGCTGATCTAAATACATTCAGTTCCGCTTAACTAGTGTGGGAGACTAGTCAATTGAACCTGGATCCTCTTGCTTGCGAAGCGACTGCTCTAACCAACACGCTACAGTACTCTGATATTCTGTAATATGAGAGTTTAATGCTCAACCCAGCACCTCTCTATTCAATGTTAAATTTAATGCTCCAGCACTGAGCGTACGCAAAGCACCGCAACATTTCAAAGTGCCATATGAAAGGATCTGTGTGATATTAAACGCCTGAAATCCTGATGCCACGTTGGACTAGATTTGGGAACACGCTATTTGTGAGCCCAAAGCTGAGCACATCCATCACTCAAGAGATCTGCCGATCTGATCACTGTCTACCAGCTGCAGACTTCTACCAGCAGAGTTTCTTCGCAATGGATCTAATTAGTTAGCAGTTCTCTGGTAACTGAACTATGGCGTCTCAGAGGGTCTGTGCAGATGGACCACAAGTTCTGATTAAAATGAGGCAAGAGGTAGTGAGGAAAGGAGGGAGTGGAGGTGGGTTGTCAAGACACAGGTAGGCACACTTACCTTTCTGGCTCTGTGACCGACAAACAAGAAAGGTTTTCTGGTGGGTTCTTAGTCGAGTCGTTGCAATTATACCAAATGGATTTCAATTGGACACGCTTCATAAACCCAAACAACTGCGCTGGGCTTTGCGAGCTGCTTTAAAGGCCGCACGTAGTAATGATTAACCAGATTGTGAAGTAATTGTTGAATTAGTGAAAGATAACAATCTGTTTGCACACAGGGCAGCACCCGGTTCCTCAGCAGAGTATTCAGCTGTTCCAACAGACTGAGCCACCGATGTACACAAAAATCTGTTTTGTTGCCTGAATCTTACCCTGCAATCAATCTTAAATAGCAGTAATTTTTAAAATACTTTTCTTTAAAAACATAAACCTGTACTTGTGCTACATTCTGCCCGCAGTTACGCCAACTCTTAAGTAAACTACTGGAGCCAGACAGCGTGACTGTGTACACAGCATTGATTGGTTCACAAGCTGATACCAAGGCCATGTCCTCTCAAACTGAACACACAGCCAGCACAAAGCCTATTGATTTTTACCTTGTTTTTAAGGTTCCTGACAACTCCCCACTATCTCTAATTCAAGGACGGACACACAAACACACAATACAATACTCATTTTGTACTGCACTCACTTTTCAATGATTTACAAGGAATGTACAGACGGAGTCAGGCCATTTGACCCAACCAATCCGTGCCAGTGTTTCCACTCCACACGAGTCTTCACCCTTTCCCTCACTCCCTCCACACCCTTCTATTCCCTTCTCCCCCATGTGAAGGTCAAGCTTCTTCTTAAATGCATCTACACTATCCGATTCAATCACACTTCAGGCAGCGAGTTCCACAATCTCGCTACCCTCTGCGGGAAGTAGTTCCTACTAAATTGTCTTTTAGATCCCCTGATCGCTATCTTACACTTGTGTCTCCCGATTACCGATTCCAACCAGCGGAATTTTTGAGTAGTTTGATCAGGTTGCCCCACTCCCCGCCACTTAAACATCTCTTCACTTGCGGAAAAAAGCCTCATCAACAGTTAACTGGAGAAAGTTGGCCACATTCACTGCATTGCCCTCATCTACTTTCTCTCTTACATCTTCAAAGAATTCTACAAGCATGACCTTGCTTTGTAAATCCAGGCTGGCTGCTCTTAATTGTATTCTCCTTCTCCAGATAACTAGTCACTTTATCTTTATTGTAGATTCCAGTACTTTGCCAACAACCCACATTAAGATGCCTGGCCTGAGGTTGCCTAGATTAGCTCTATCGCCCTTTTTAAAAATGAGTATTACATTGGCCACTCTCCAGTCCGCTGGCAAGATTCCTTTCTCTACACAGTTCGTAAATATATACACTAAAGCCTCAGCTATCTCCCCCTGAGTTTCCCTCAGGATTCTTGGGTGCAGTCTGTCTGGGTCAGATGCCTTGTTCTCTTTTAGCTTGCGTAATTTTTTTAATACAATAATAATCCTTGCATTTGATCTAGCGCCTTATCACGCTGTTGAAACGTCTCAAAGCGCTTCACAAAATATACTGTAAATTGGACTGACTGTGTATTTTGTGGGTGAAAACCATTTCAATTCAATACAACTTACAAGGATAAAGCGTCTTTCACGTCAGTTCAGTACACATACAGTCAAGACGTGCTTCAATGCTATCTATTATAGTAACACCCATTGTTGGAGCTTCGTGTGTGCAGTTGATGCACACAGAGCAGTGATAGGGAGAGTGGTAACAGGATTTCCTCAAGGCCCGGTCAATGTATTGAGGAACGTCTTCATCAGGCCTCCCATTTCACAATACTCCACTGCTGGAGGTGATATCACTTCCCTTCCAGGAACGTAAACTAACCATAAAAAGCCAACTGCAGCTTTCACACCAGAGTTAACAAGATTTTCACTACATCGAATAGTAAATGTAAGGAACAGGCTCCCTAGGGAGACGGTGGAAGCAGAAACTGTTGTTCGTTTCAAGAACAAATTAGCTAGATTTCTGCTAGAAAATAATATCTTGGGATACAGTATATAGTTTGGGACACGACATGTCAGGATAGCGGATGGTGAACTAGATGGACCTTGGTCTTCTTTCGGCTAGCAATTCTTATGTTATGTTCTTATCGTGAAGCTCAAAGCATGACTGTAAGAAGCCCTTGAACACAGAAACATAACAGCAGAGTGCTTCAGGGAGCAACGCTCAGTAAAGACTGATTCTGTTTGTTATTGGGTCTTTCCAACATAATAGCATGAGTTTGTGTAACCTGCTGAGGTACAGTCAATCACATAGTGCCACTAACCTGTGTGTCGGTCACCTGACTTTATTCCTAGAGATGCCTGGAGGCAGAGGAGAGAAAAACTCTGTTCTTAGTGGGATCAACTGCTTGTACTTTCAGGTGAACAGAGTCGAGGCTCGTGTTTTTATGAGGGTAGTTGTCCTTACCCCAAATTTACAGCGCACAAGAAAATGAGAAAATGAGTCTCCCAGTGACTCCGTGGGTTAAGCACCAAATGGGAGTAATAATGACGGGTGCCTTTTACACTGTTTACATTTTGCATTATTTCGCCCACAAAATATACAGTCAATTCACTTTGAAGTGTATTCTGTGAAGCGCTTTGAGTCGTCTCAATGACATGATAAGGTGCTATATCAAATGCAAGGATTATTATTATTATTATTAAATGCGGCGGCCGATTGCACACAGCAGTGACCCACAAACAATCATGGATTGAGTGGCCAAATCATTTATTTTTTTTGAAGGGAAAGGGAAAGCAATCTGCCAATCGACTTACTGGGGGGGGTAAGTACCACGCGGGAATCAAACCCGGATCTTCTCGCTTGTGAGGCGAGTGTGCTAACCACTACTCTACAGGACTCCACAGGCACTGAAGGATCTTCAGCACATGAACAGCCATAACATGGAAGATCCGCTCACCCATATCCACATCGGAGTCCTGGAAGGCGGAGAGATCCTGATTGTGCTGGTAGATCTGCGACTCCTGTTTCTGGTTGAGCTGCAGATCCGGTTTCTGGTTTCCCCAATCCTCCAGCTCCGCTGGCTGGGCATCGCGGCTCTCGCCCAAGTTACTCGTGTCTGATTCAGCGTCTTGGTACAAACCGCTGCTGTCAATCAGGACCGGCTGATAGGCATGAGGCTCCCACATCATAGGTACCCGCCCGAAGACCTGCTCCAGTTGCTGAAACGTGTAGTTGCAAGTTCTCTTCCCACGGCCTCGCTCCTTTACTCGGCTATAACACCTCTTTAGAGTCTGGGTGGAAACGGAGACGATTTTAAACGAATGCAAAATACCCGACACCCTAAAAAAAAGGAGTCCGGTAGCGTTCGCCTGGCAAGCGTCAGGCAAGTTTCCTTATTCCCCAAGCCCCGGTTTACCTGGCAGTAAGTAGGAACCTAGTGGTCAGCCGGTTATTATTTTTTTTAAAAAATTTTTTTTTTTTTGATGGGATTGTCGCCCCCAGAAAGAGATCCGCCGATCGACTAACAACCGGGTTCCTGCTTACTGCTAAGTAGACAGAGGCGTGTGTGTATGTATGTGTGTGTGGAGTAAGGAAACCTGCCTCAGGTAATAATCCCTCAAAAGGAGAAGAGATGGCGCTAGTTATGCTAGTTACCGGCGTTCTCCCCACCGTGGAGTCCTGTAGCTCAGTGGTTGGAGCACTCGCTTTGCAAGTGAGAGACCTGAGTTTAATCTCCGGCAGGTTAGGGCGAAACCTTGGGCAAGTTTCCTTACTCCACACAGAGCCTAATAATAATCCTCCAAAACCAAAAACAATAATAAATTGGTCATTTTCAATCTACGACTGTTTGTGGGGCATTGCTGTGCGCAATTGGCTGCCGCGTTCGCCCACAAATATATAGTCAATTCACTTTACAGTGTGTTCTGTGAAGCGCTTTGGGACGTCCTCCCGACGTGAAAAGCGCTGTATCAAATGCAACAATTATTATTATTATTATTTAACACGGTCACTCCCTCTCGACAGTATATCCTGTGAAGCTCTTTGACACGTCGCAGGGATTAATACAATTATTATTACAGTCCGATTGACGGCTGTGACATCTTTTGCTGGTGAAGTTAAGACTGGGGGGAGGGGGGGGGGAGGGATCGATAGTTAAAGAATGGTGACCAGTTAAGTGAGTGAGTTACCTGGTTGAGGCTGGGGGGGGGGGGGGGAGTTCGCTAGTTAGACTGTCACCGGTGACGTCGCTAGTTAAGAATGTCACCAGTTAAGTTGCCGGTTAAGAGTGTTAGCAGTTAAGTCGCTCAGTTAAGAGCGTCACCGGGTCGGAGTAACTAGTTAAGAGTTGGGGGTGGGGGTTGAGTTGGTGGGGGGCTTGGGAGGTGGGGGGTTGAGTTGGTGGGGTGGGGCTTTGGGGGTGGGGGGTTGAGTTGGTGGGGGCTTTGGGGTGGGGGGTTGAGTTGGTGGGGGTTTGGGGGTGGGGGGTTGAGTTGGTGGGGGGCTTTGGGGGTGGGGGGGTTGAGTTGGTGGGGGGCTTTGGGGGTGGGGGTTGAGTGGTGGGGGGGTGTTGGGGAGGTGGGGGTTGAGTTGGTGGGGGGCTTTGGGGGTGGGGGGGTTGAGTTGGTGGGGGGGTTTTGGGAGGTGGGGGGTTGAGTTGGTGGGGGGTTGAGCTGGTGGGGTGGGCTTTGGGGGGTGGGGGTTGAGTTGGTGGGGGGTTGAGCTGGTGGGGGCTTTGGGGTGGGGGGGGCTGGTGTTGGGGTGGGGGTGGGGGAGGGGGGGGGCTTTGGGTGGGGGGAGGGGGGGGGCTTTGGGTGGGGAGGGGGGGGGCTGTGTTGGGGTGGGGGGAGGGTACCTTGATCCTCTCCTTGCACTGGTTGGCGCTGCGCTCGTAGCCCATCTCCCGCAGGGCCTGCGAGATGCGGTCGAAGATGTGCGAGTTGCGCAGGTTGCCCTCCAGCACGTCCTGCAGCCGCTCGTCGCCCCACACGGCGATCAGCGCGTTCGTCTCGGCCGGCGTCCACGAGATGCCGCGGCAGGCGGCGGCCGGCCGGCTGGGGCTGGGGGCCGCGGAGGCGGCGGCGGCGGCGGCGGAGGAGGGGTCGGGGTGGCCGGCGCTGCTCCAGCTGGGGGCCGGGGGGCTGCTGTCCTCGGCCTTGGGGCAGAGCGGGAGCGGGAGCGGCAGCGGCAGCCGGGCCGGGCTCTGGTCGGGCAGGTGCAGCAGGCCCGAGGCCTGGGGGTCGGGCGGCGGCGGGGGCGGCCGGGCCGGGGCTGCGGCGGCGGCGGCGCTGAGGGAGGCTGCGGGGCTGCTGTCCGCTGAGCCGCGCGCCGCCATCCTGCGCATCCGGGCCCCGCGCCGCGGGCATGCCGGGATAGAGCGGGGCGGCTGGAGGACCAGGGCTGGAGGACCGCAGTGGGGGCGGGCGGCGGGGGTGGGAGACCCCGCCGGCGCGGGGCGGCGCGGCGCGAGAGGGGAGCGGGACGCAGCGGAGCGCGCGGCGGAGTCCGGGTGACGGTTGGTTTTTTTTTCCCCCCCCTCTCAGAGTCAGGTCAGTCAGTCAGTCAGGCAACGAACTGCGGCGCGGCGGCGAAGGGGGAAAACCCCCCCTCCCTCCCCCCCCCCCCCCCCGGGCGGGCAGAGACCTGAGGCCATTACTGTGATACACACTCACCCCCCCCCACACCCACACCACCCCTCCCCCACCACACCACACACCCCCTCCCCCCACACACACCCCTCCCCACACCCCCCTCCCCACCCACACACCCCCTCCCCACCACACACACCCCCTCCCCACCCCACACCCCACCCACACACCCCCTCCCCACCCCCACCCCCACCCACACCACCCCCACACCCCTCCCCTCCCCACACCCCTCCCCACCCCCCTACACCCCTCCCCACCCCACACCCCTCCCCACACCACACACCCCTCCCCACACCACACACACACACCCCCACACACCCCCACACCCACACACCCCCCCCACACCCACACACCCCTCCCCACACCACACACCCACACCCCACACCCACACACACCCCCCCCCACCCCCACACACACCCCCCCACACCCCCAGGCCGCTCTCCCCCCCCCCCCTCTCACACACACTGCTCCTGTTTACCAGCAGCCCTTAGGATCCCTGTTGTTGGTCGGTTAGCGGATCGCGTCCCGGGGGGTAATAATCCCTTCGCATAATAACAATAATTTGGTCACTTCGAGCCGTGGCTGTTTGTGGGGACATCACTGGGACGCAATTGGCTGCCGCCTTCCGCCCACGAAACGCACCGCGCTTCACGGATGCCCCGTGAAGCGCTTGGAGACGTCTCGAAGACGTGATGAGGCGCTGCGAGAGGCGAGGATTATGATCATTATTATTGGGGCGGTTGGGGTGGGGGGGGGGGGGGCTGAGGGTCGGCTGAGGCCGACTGCTGATGCTGAGAAGGTGTGGTGGGTATGTGACGCTGGCCAGCGCCTGCCCAGCGGGGTCAGCGGGTGGGGTTGGTAAGGTCACAGAGGGAGGACGGCGCAAGATCGCGGATGGATTCAAAGGTGAGGATGAGGACCTGGAACTTGATCCTCTGAGGGATGTGGGGGCCGGCCTCGGGATGGGGGTGGGGGGAATGATGGGCTCGCGGAGCCTGGAGTGGAAAAGGGGCACATAGTCTGCAGTTTGTGGAGGGAGGGGGAGCTGGGGAGTCCGAAGAGCAGAGAGTTGCGGCGATGAGAGCACGAATGAGGGTCTTAGCGGCTCGAGGGGTAGGGAGGTGAGCCAACAGCAACAGCATTTTCATTGATATAGCGCCTTTCAGGTCAGGAGGACGTCCCAAGGAATGTCGAGGAGGTAGGAGGTAGAAAGCTGAAGTGGGTCAGGACTAGGACGTGGGGTTTAAAGGGTAGTTGAGAGTCGAACAAGACACTGACGTTTCAAGCTGACTCTGTGAAGTGTGCACGGTCAACTCTGATATCCTTCACATCCCCAGTTTGTTTCACTCATCATCATTGGGCTCTTCAGAAATCCCTGTGTCTTATCCCTCTCTCTCTCTCTCTCTCTGCTTTCAAAACATTTCTTGGATTGTGTCTGTGGCACAGATGCCAACACATCAGCTACACCTGTGGGAACAGATAGTTATTCTTAAAACTTTATTCGCTTCTGGGCTGTGCAAAATACAGCACTGAATATTGGCCGAGAATAATTCTCCCTGGTCTTTATCACTGTCAGGTATGAAGTTGTCACACGACGCTAGGTGGCAGCATTGGTTCCTGCGAATTTTGCTGCAAGCAGTGATGTTATGGGACGTGAAATTCAATAAAATCGAAAGGTTGCAGACGCAAGATTCTGTGCACCGGTTGTGTGGTGCCAGAGATGGAGCATTGCAGAAGAGTGGGAAAGCTCCAGGTAGCGTCAGTAGCACTTTTAGACTCTGGATCACAAGTTTGAGCCTCGCACCGCAACTTGAGCTCCTAACCCAGGCTGACGCTCCAGTACAGTGCTCAAGGAGCACTGCAGTCTCCTGATTAGATATTAACCGGAGGTCCGTCCATCTGATGGTTCAGACAAACCAGTATTCCACAGAACTATTTTGAACAGTAGTGAGTTCTTTCAGTGACTTGATCAATATTTCCTTCATCACCTGTTCTGGTTTAACAATAACCAGGATCCTGAAAAATCGTAAGGATAACAAAATGAATGAATATTACTAATAATAGTAATGCTTGCATTTGATATAGCGCTTTAGTGCATCGTAGCAACGTCTCAAAGTGCTTCACAGAATATATTGTAAAGTGAATTGACTATATTTTGTGGGGGAACACATTAAATGAAACAAAACACATGAAATATGTGAACATAACAGAAAAAAGATTTTAAAAACACTTTTTAGAAAAGGAAGAAAAGAATACAAAATAAATAGGAATGATTACATGAATCATGAATAGCTTTTGTGGCTAACTAGATAAAGAAGGAATGTGTTGAAAAACCACAGCTCAATTCCCCTGGGACAAGCGCTTCATTTCCAGTTATTATCTTTCAGTCCATACAGTGATGTGCCAATCCGGGAGAACAAAACCTAGTGAAAAGAAAGAATCTCAACATGTTTACTGTATGAAGACATCAGAATGTACAGGATTGGAAAGGCCATGTGGCTGGTCCCAAAGTAAAGTAATAAATATCTGTATAAATATAAATAAATATTATTTCTCGTACTCATTCAATTTATCCACCGAAGAATCATTGAATACCCTCCCAAATGTACTGATTCGATGTCTGTACCCCTTCACTCAAAATAATCCTTACATTTAAAAATGCACCTTTCACGTTGGTAGGATGTCTCAAAATGCTTCACAGAATATACTGTAAAGTGAAGTGACTGGCAAATGGGGCAGCCAATGTGCTCACAACAATGTTCCACAAATAGCCATGTGGACCAATTTTATTGGGGGATTGATGGTCAGGACAGCAGAAGAAATTTGCTTTGAATAGTGCTGTGGGATCTTTAAAGTCCACTGAAACAGGCAGTCAGAACCTGTTTAACATCTCATTTGAAGGATGGCACCTCCAACAACACAGCACACCCTCGTGCACTGCATTGGAATGCCAGCATCGACCGAATGAGTTCCGAGTCCCAACGTGAGACCTGTTGAACCCACAACCTTCTGACTGTGAGGCGAGAATGCTACCGACTGAGCCAGGCTGACACATGGAAAAATACAGCATTTTTAATGGTTAAAGGAACTTCATAGCTCTAGAAAAACTTACACTTCTATTCTGCATAGTACAAGATCTGAAAGCACTTTATAGAATTTTAACATTAACTGCTTTTGGTCAATAACGTGGGGAAGGAATAGAGAATTCAGAAGCTGGATAGCAGTCTGCCTTGCCCCCTCCCCGTCTTCGAAACCTATTCTTTTGACAACACCTCAGGTCCAAATCATCTGAAGCACGTTGACATGTCACCTTGGAGTGAAAGGCACCACATAAATGCAAAATTGTTGTTGGGGAATTTAAACTTGTCAGCTCACTGAATAAATTTGCCGAGTTAGCATTGGGAGCTAGAGTTTGACCTCGTGTCGTATCGCAACGTCTCAAAAACCACAATGAGTTACTCTGAAGTTTAACGACCTTGGCTACGTAGGCAAAATTGGCAAGTAATCTCAGTGAGATGAATGCCCCACTTAACATGGCCTTTTGTTTAGGTTGAGAGAAGAATGTTGGCCAGGGCAGTGGCAGAAACCTTTGTGCTCTTCTTTCGAATAGTGCGGAGACAGCTTTAACATCCTTAGCGACCATTGATTGAACATTTCAGCCGAAGGATGATGCCTCCAACAATGCAGTGCACATTAGTGCTGCACTCGAGTGCACTACGCTTCCTCGGTGCTGCCTGGACTGCCAGGATCCTACAATGGAGCATCAAACTGGATTCTAACCTCACGCCCCGGTGTAGGCTCCAGCCTCCGGATTCAGAGACAAGTTCTTAATATGCTAAGAGTTTTCCAATGCCAGGTAGGAGTTTTTCTCCCATGTTTCGTAGCTCGTGAGCTCAGCACAAAAGGCAATCTACATTTTAAAACAATTGCTGCTCACGGCTGGAAATTAAAGCAAATTAGAGCCGGCACTATTTGAACCATAAGAATTTACAGCACAGAAGGAGACCATTTAGCCCATTGTGCCTGGACTATGTTCAATGTTTCTCCTTGGGAGATTTTTTATTTAATTTCTATTTAACGGCTCAAATTAATCGAATTTCTCCTAGATTCTGCCTTAACCACCATGTTTAGGAAGGGCTGCATAAACTCTTTCCCTCCCTCCCCACCACCACCGGCTCGGGTCCAAATCATCTCAAGCACTTTGAGATGCCACCTCGGAGTGAAAGGTGCTATATAAATGTAAAATCGTTGTAACGACGATTGTCTGAAACATATTCTGACTTATCCCTTTACTCTCTTGGTGATTAGTGTAGGTTAACGTAGGGACAGCCCCTCCAGCCATTCTATTAGATCATGGCTGCTCTGTCCCTCAATTCTCATTCACCTGCCTTGGCCCGCATATCCATTGGTACCCTGACCTAACAAAAATCTATCCACCTCAATCTTGAAAATGTGAATGGATCCAGCATCCACACCCTTTTGGGGGAGAGAGAGAGTACCAGATTTCTACTACTCTTTACCCTTTTGACGCCATATACTGATGCTGTACTATATCTCAGGTACAAAACTGCAGATTCAAGTCTCCTGAGCACCTGCGATTCAGTGTTGTTATCCTCTGTCATCTGTTATCCTCTGTTGCTATCCTCTGTCATCTCCAGTACCCCCCCCCTCACCCATTCCCCCAACA